GAGATTAAACTTGATCCACTATATTATAGAACACATGCCATCATCACTTGAACTACCTCACAAAAAATATGGTCATACTCCATTTCTTATTGCAGTGTACTTCAATCAGTTAGAAGTTATTAAATATCTTATTAGTAAGAATTGTAATCTATCAGCGACTGATAATAATGGGTCTGGAGCAGTTCACATATCCGTAGCGACGGGTCACTTAAATGTATTAAAATATCTCATCGATAATAATTATTGTAATCCTAATGTAACTGATAATCAAGACCGTACACCACTACATGTTGCTGTATCAGCTGAACAGCTTGAACTATTAGAATATTTATTAGCAGCTAATCTAAACTTAAATAGTTTTAACAAACAAGATAAAGATGGTGACACACCACTACACTTTGCTTGTATGATAGGACAGCAGAAGATGGTATCACTTCTATCCAGGTTTACTAATATCAATATTGCTAACAAGAAAGGACAGACACCATTACACTTAGCAGTTGCCTCTGGTCATAAGGATACCACTGAAGCTTTACTATTCTCAGTCACTGGTAGTTCTAATCATCATAATCTCCTTACAGTTACTGATAATGAAGGATCTAGCTTGCAGTAATGGCCATATTGATGTGTTTCTTTACTTGTGTAGTATTTCTCCTGATGAACTTAATACTTTGGATAGTAGAAAGTACTATACTTCATGCAGCATGTGAGGGTGGGAATATGGAATTAGTACAACTTTTAATTGTCAATTGTGGACTAGACCCTGAAGGACAAGATAAAAGTGGCATAACTTGCATGCACATATTGGCAGAAAGAGGCAATACTACAATATTTCAGTACATAAAGATTGAAATAAAGTAGCTTCTAACTACATCCCTTGTGATGATAATGGTCGTACCCTCTTCTTTATGCATGTCTCTTCAATCATAATGAGATGGCACTGTATCTCATTAATAGTTGTCATTGTATAATCCTGATGATCCTGATAATAATGGATACACTTCAGTTCATGCAGCATGTGAAGCTGGTAAGTTTGACTTAATTCTGCAATTTCTCACAGAGCTTTGCTGTAATGCACTAGCTGAAATGCATGGCAAGAAAACTCTGCTCTATTTTGCTAGTATGCATGAGTTCTAATTTAGAGCTTGTTCGTTTTTAATTGATGTATTCAGTTTAAAACCTCGTCCACAAGATATTGAAATAGCTCAATCTGTTAATTCTGATTCATCAGTAGTTAAATATCTTCAAGAGATACATTATGATTTATTTGTTTTTGAACGAAGCAAAGTGAATGGATATCATTAGAAACTTAAAGGACAACTTAAACACAACCTTATAACCATATTACCACCTTATCAGTCCATTGTATGTAACCTATCACCATATTACCAATACACCATCTTACTACAGCATCATATGTATAACCTATCACCATTACACCATCATACCTATCCTACCACATTACCACCATCTAACTAACTACCTTTACACGACTTTAGTACCATCTTCACCATTACACCATATACCCACAATGGTTACCAATATCATCAATCCTATACAATATCGGATCTTAAACATTATCTTACCATTACACCTATCACCACCTTATCACCATCCCACCACCTTACATACCATTGTATCACCATTGTACTATTACACCTTACACCAATGGCTACAAATATCACCTATATAATACTTGTGTAATATTTTAAACTTGTATCACTGATAATCTTAACACCTTTATACTAGTTTGACATTTAACCACCATTGTCATCTTATACTAATCATGTACACCAACGACATGCAATATATCCATTACCATTGTACCACCATATTACCATCGTAACTGTATATAACCACCTTACCAGTTATCACCATTACACCATATGCCCACACACCAATGGTTACCAATATCACCAATCCTTCTTCTTTAATATATTCTCCATTAAAACATATCACTGGAGCTACTCTTTGGTTTCTTTTGTTAGTCTTCCCTTTCTTCCTTAATTAATAAATTGTTTTATTTTAGCATGTACTCATGTACCTTTATTTTGTACTTCTACTTAATTTATTATTATTATTATTATTATTGTTGTTGTTGTCGTTATTGTAATTTGACATACTTTTATTCCAAAACAATATAATGATGTATATTAGCATCAAGTTCTCTATCAATTTTGGATATTTTTAACAAAATAAAATTTTAAGTTTATAAAATCAAATTCAATAAATCAAGTATTTTACCTTAAGCCTACTATTTTTAGCGTCTACTAAATTTAGCTATATTAGCGAGAGAGCTTAAAACCGCTAAATTAAATAGACGCCAAAATAATTATTATTGATTATAATGGTTATTATTTATAGTTACATGTAAGATTATAATGGTTATTATTTATAGTTACATATTAAAATTTTGGTTAAAACGCTAAAATTGGTAATGCTAAATATGACTTTTGCTGATTTTGCTAAAATTAGTTGCCGCAAATAATAGTAGGCTTAAGGTTAATCCAGTTCTTCACCAGACTGTGTCCATAGTTCTTACTTAAAGTGATTACGTCTGGACATTCAAGAACTGTTTGAATTCAATGTGATTCTCCACTGGTCAATGCAGCTTCAAAATCAGCAAGATGTGCAAGATCATCTATAACTCTTTTACCAGCCTCAATGATCTGAGCCAATGACTCTCTGTGGGACAAGAGAGAGAGAGAGAGATAGAGAGAGAGAGAGAGAGAGAGAGAGAGAGAGAGAGAGAGAGAGATGAGGAATGAGACCTAGTTCTCACATTAAGAACATGCTCAGTATTCTACCCCCGACTATCTAATGCAGCCTACCCCACAAGCATCCCTACTGCCATGCAGCTCAGCCAGCTTTCAAGATGTATTTGTGTGTATATTCCACAGTAGTATGCATATGTGTTACATGAATAAAGGCTTTTGTTTTGTGTGTTTATGAGTAAGTGATAATAGCATAGTGGTAGAAGGGAGGTGAGGCAGTCTGGCCTTGAGAGTCGGAGGTGGGGTTTCAAACATTTTAACAGGCTCAACACTAAAAACTCTACCTGCCTCCATTTCGTCTTTTTTTTATTATAATTTGAGGAGTGACAAAAACATAAGGTAAGTGTTTATATACCATATAGTGGAAAAGTTTCGTGGCCCAAAATTTTCATGGATTCATCCAAAAATCAATTTTGTGGCTTTAATTTTTGTGGTTTTCTACATTTTGGCCATCTTAAACCATATAGAATCAATTTTCACTGATTTTATTTTCGTGGGTTTTGAAAAAAATGCAAAATCCACAAAAATTTTGGGCCATGAAAATTTTCCGCTATACGGTAGATCATTTGAGAATGTGTTTACACAGTGTATGTGGCTGTATTTACATATTTGTCTTACATGAATGTATAAACAGATAAAATTACAATTTGGGCTTATCAATATTCAATGCACTTGAGGTTGCCATTTTCTCATGTAACATAAACATGTGCTTTTAAGAATACATAATTAATTATTATTAATTAGAATTAATTGGGTCCGGCCACTTAAAAACAAAAATTAGATGTACATTGTATACTGTATAGGTCTTTCTACCAATTTAAAACTACTAAAGTACATGTAAGTGCCCAGTTAAGCTAGCATTATGCTCAGAAAAGAGGAGAGAGAGAGTACAAAAATAAACAAAAAACATCAAAAATGATCCATATATCACAAAACTACTACAAGTCTACAAATACATGTGTACGTACAGGAATTATACATTCCATTCCCAAACTCCCATACCTGGTACCATGTCCCAGTTCATCAATCAGTATGAGTAGATTCTCAGTTAGTACTTTCTCTAAACTGTATCACTTTACCAGGCATTGCACCAACATATGCTCTCCTGTGTCCCTTTATCTCAGCCACATCAGTCATACCTCCTACACTGAACCTAAAGTACTAACACACACACACACACAAAGAGAGAGAGTCAGTCAGTGATTGTTGTATTAGTTTATTGTGTAGTCTTACTTCTCTAATTAATGCCAGGGCAATGAACGAGCTATACTGGTATCACCAACACCTACAGAGAGAGAGAGAGAGAGAGAGAGAGAGAAAGAGAGGGAAAGGGAGAAAAGGAACAGAAAGAAGACAAACAACATGAACATTATAACATGTAGACTGATTCAAAACATTGTTTAAAGTACATGTACACATACTGTACAGTATATTCCTTATAAAAAGAATTGTAAGAGAAAGAGTTATAAATTAATACATTTCCAGTATTAGATTTACCATTAGAAACATTACCCAATACAGTCAAACCTCTCTAAAACCAACCCCTGATTA